TGAATTTCCCGGGGTGCCTGCTTACTTCAGGCAACTGACCCAATGTCCAAAATACTAAGAGTGGTAAGTGCCACAACATTGCCTTACTGGGGCTGTAGACAGAGGAGAAAAGCGCAAATGGACCCTGCTGGCCTCGAACACCCTTTCTCCTTAGTTGACCCCTCGTACCGGCAACAGGCTGCTGTAACCCTGTAGTCGGGAGACCTACAACGAGTTGGAAAGGACCATATTTGGGCATGATCCGCAGGCACACCTGGCTCATGAAGTTCAGAAGCTGAACTATGTCACCCACCTCTGGCCTTTGCAGGCTGCCTGGAATGCTACACTGACTGTGGTCTGGCGTCCCCTGGCGTCCAAAGCAGCGTTATCCCATCAGAGCAAATTACCACCACAAACACCAGCAGCCAGAGCAACACTGAAGTCAGAAAGACCTCCTCTTGAGAGGTGACTGTCCTGCTGTCCTGGCAACTGTTGGTCAGCCCGGTGCTACTAGTAGGAGCAACAATGGTCTCATTGTCGGATTTTGTGCCCAGGTTAGGAACCTGCTGATCACTGTCACTATATTTGTCAAATCAATGGATGCGTAAAGCCCTGGCTGAATTCTCTGGGAGAGACACGCTCAGTAGTCAAGGTCACCCATTTTTTCATTGTTGCAGCCCACCTCTGGTCTGTAATTTGACTTGACTGCCTCTTGCATAGTATTTGGACAACACTTCTGGGACATACATTCAACTCCTTCCCAAAAATGTTCTTTCATAGTCAGTACACTTATCTACTTGGCTCCCATGCATTACACCCTAATGAAATTTACCATGAAGTCCTAAGGCCAAGAATGTGATTACTAGGTTAGTTAAAAGCATGGCTGTTAAATATTGTCTACAAACAAAAGTAAGAGAACATAAGAGAAATTTTTGATGGATCAGAATACAAGTGATTTACTTACTGTTACCACTAGGTGGTGCCACCAATTAGTGAAAACAACGTGGTTGTTCTTGCTGGCCAACCAAAAACCAACCACAGCCTTGTGTGGCACATGAATGGACAAGTATATATATCCATGAACGTGTGCACACACAAAAGCAAGAGTCTCATGAGTCCCCACAGTGTGACATTGGCTTTAATCATCTGAAACATGTTTGCTTGTTTAACATGAGCCATTGATGAATGCAATATCTTTGTATAAATTCAGCAATGTGACAAATATATCACACAGAAAACAAACCTAGATCATTTTCTTGTGTCGTCTTTCACTAGTTTAAACTGTGGAATTATAGAGGTCCCTGTTCATTTAATTCTGAAAGGAATTAAATGCTTCTTAAGGAAAAGTAATACTTAAATAACTATTTAAATAATATATGTATGTTATAAAATGTTGCTACCTTAACAATATAGAACATTAAGCATATTCAAACTGATGTACTAAACATTAAATATTTAAATAGTGTCCAAAGAAAGCACTAGTATTTAAGATGGCTTCTTTCACAAGAATAAAAGAAAGAGTCACGGGTTTAAGATTATTAGATTTTCAGTTTCACATATTTATTGTAATTTGCAAAACAAATGATGGTGTGTAAGCAGACTGTTCATTTGTTCCCAGCTGCACAGACTCAAAATAATCACATAGAAACTCTATTAATTATAACACTGCTTGGCCAATTAGCTCATGCATATTTCTAGCTAACTCTTACATCTTGAATTAACCCATTTCTATTAATTTATGAATAACCATGAGGCTCAAGATTCATCAGTAAGGTTCTCTGGTGTCTGTCTCCTTAGGCTGCTACATAGTATCTCCTTGACTTTACCTACTCTCTCTATATATTTCTTCCAGCCTGACTATATTCTGCTGTCATATAGGCTGAAGCAGCTTCTTTTACAACCAATGGTAATAAAACATATTCACAGCATACAGAGGGAAAGCCCCTATCAATTATGTGGAGTAATTTCTTTTATCATTTTACTCTTCTGAAAACACCACCATTAAAATGTGTTTTTTAAAAACTGCAAAAAGATGCTGGGCATGTTCAATTTGCAGCATAAATTCAAAACAATCTGCAGAAAATTCCCACCAAATTATATCTGAAAAGCTGATTACAAACCTACGTGAAATGTAGAAAAATTCAGAATTTTCAATAAGATTAAGAAGAAATGGTACAAACAATGACGAAGTGAGACTTTTGTACTTACCACAAATCTGTAACAATCAATAATGTGTAAAATATTTGGGAAAGATTATGGTGATAGGCAGAGAAAAAAAGAACAAAAGCCCAAAAGTATAGTCAGGCTTTCATCCAAAGACCTAACTAGGAAAAATGTGAACTTGACTAATGTTATGTATGATTGTATGTATATAGGAATTAGATAAATATGGTCTTCACAACTCATACAATAATAACTCAAAGTGCCCATTAAACTGTTACATTTCTGTCTCTCCAGCTACTACTGATCTCTGTTCTGAAAAGAGAAGCACCACGCTGTAGAGCTTTCTCTGGAAATGGAGGTGATAAGAAAGATCAGCTATGGCAATGCATACACTCAGTCCCCCTTGTATTTCAGGAAACTGATGCCCACACAGAAAACAATGGTGAAAATAACTTAATGCACAAAGATGTTGAAGAATAGTTTAATGTCTACTTCCTAACACATGGATTATGACACAAGATGTAGAATCTGTGCTATATACCAAAGCAACCACAGTCTCTGTCTACATAATGACACCCAACATTCGGCAATGTACATATAGATAAAACCTGAAAAGCTTAAAAAGGGGGGCTTCAATTGGAGCTTCTTGCTAGCCACAATTTTTCAGATAGGCTCTGTTTGCTAGCTGCAAGCAGAGATACAGCTTTTTTAAGAGGTGGTTTCCTGGTTTATATAGGTGGCACTAATGGCTCTGGCACTTTCAGTATGTCAGCAATTAAATTGGGTTTGTGAGCAAAAGGCTACAAGTTGCTGAATGATAACATAGACCAGCTCCATCCCTGGATCATGGTGAGCCTGGCTCACAAAGGCAGTAAACAGATCTCTGCCATGTTGGATGGGGTGGATCCAACAGGAAAGGTAGCAGTGTGAGTCATAGCCATGCCTGTTTACCATTAAAAAAAAAAAAAAACCTCTCTGGATCAGAAAATTATTATAGTGCACAATAAGGTGGATTCAGACAAAATGATCTCTGAATGAGTCACAGTGTTGGGAAACTGTACAGGAGCTTAGGAGAGAGATAAGAAAGAGCATAATCATAGATTGAAAACGTAAAGATAAAAATATTAAAAATAATAAAGTAATAAAATATATGCATATTAAGCCATGTAAAGATGTAAAATACACAGAGAATCTGGATTATGTTTATTATTTTGTTTTCTTTGAACTTTTTGACAGCAGAGAGGTATTTGATTCTTGGGACTGCTAAGCTAAACCAACATATATATAT